TTGAAACTCAAATACTTTGGCCACCTAATGAAAAGGAAGGACTCACTGGAGAAGAGCCTAATGCTGGGAAAGATTGAGGGCAATAGAAGAACGGGACGACAGAGAATGAGGTGGCTGGATGGAGTCACTGAAGCAGTAGGAGTGAGCTTAAATGGACTCCAGAAGATGGTAGAGGACAGGAAGGCCTGGAAGAACGTTGTCCATGGGGTCGCGATGGGTCGGACTTCGTAACTAGCAACAATTTAGTTGAAAGCTACAATGGCACTAAAAAAGTGACTTATGACCATTTTTCACACTTACGACCATTGCAGCTTCCCCATGGTCACGTGATCAAAATTCAGATGCTTGGCAACTGACTCATACTTATGGCAGTTGCAGTGTCCCAGAGATTTGATCCCCTTTTGCAACCTTCTGACAAGCAAAGTCAAGAGGGGACCAGATTCACTTGACAACCGTGGTATTAACCTAACAACTGCAGTGATTCACTTAACATCTGTGTCAAGAAATATTGTAAAATGGGGCAACATTAGCTTAACAACTCTCTTACTTAGCAACAGAATTTGGGGGCTCAATTGTGGTCGTAAGTCAAGGACTACCTGTACTAGCTGAGTGCCTGGGAAGGCAGGGACTGAGGCAGTAAATGGTGTCACATGTTGGAGATAACCAGGCTGAGGGAGGGGTCAAATGCGTCATCAGTTTTGAGTCCCTTTGTGCCCACAAGAGATCGAAGTCCAGCCCACCTTGAATTCCATTGACTCTTATCTACCACCAATTTGCTTTGACGGTTAGTAGTTCCGATTCTTGTACAGAACTTCAGCTGGCAAGAAATCCTTACATTAATTTGAACTGCTTGGGTTTCCTGATTTCTATGCTTGACATCACAGCTGTGGGTACATGCAGCGAAACAAGGCTTATTGTGAGCACTTATGGGAAAGTGCGTCTAAATAGCAACTGGACGTCTTCTTGCATGAAGAAGCCAAGGATGGATCCCTGGGGAATCAAACATACCTTGAAAAGAGCCATTCCACTCTACTTAGCAATACCACCCCCAAAGAGAAAAAGACACATGCAATTTGGAAAGTTCTTATTTACCTATAAACATAGGCCATTCTACATGTATCAAATAACATTGTTAAAAAGGTAGAGAAGATCTGTGTGAAACAGGCGCTACTCAACCAGTTACTAGAACCACACCAAAATGTATTGAATGGCATTGTTGATTTGGAATTCCAAACGTTTATAACTAACTTTATTAGTTACAAAACCTCAGAGATGATAGCGGGGCAGAGAATACTCTGCATTTGATCAAAGTCAGCTCTGCAGTCTTTCTCCAAAAATGCCACTGAGAAAACAAGCCCTGTTGGAAAGCAGAGCACAAGGTCCCAGAAAAGCGAGAAGGTGGACTTTAGGACATTTAACAATAATAAAAAAATAACCTTTTTTTCACAGTGACATTTAACATGCCATGCTGCAGTTTTGCTACACTGTAAAGTAAAATAGGGAAAGTTACAAAAGTAACTGGTAGAGTCTTCTAATTTTGTTTTCCCTATCTTCAACAGCACTGCTGGCAATGGCAAAGGGGGGGGGGAAGTCCCACCAATTGTTTCGTTAATATGAAGTAGGGTGGACCTGGCAAGGCTTGCTTGGTGTCTGGAATGACGCATCGCTTGAGTGACAGGTCCCAACTGCTCTCTTTCCCTGTGAACTGTCAGGCGGGCTGTCTCTGAACCGTCTCTGAACCTGAGTCTAGCAATAGCCTGGATCTAAAAATAACCTGGTTGATGGGACATGGAGATGGACAGTGAGACACCAGGAGACTTGGTGGCCAGCATGAAAGAATTCTCTTCCACTTCATTTTATTCCTCTTCCATGCACTGGAAACCTGGACAACTGAGCTTCAGGTAGTCCTCAACTTACAGCTATTTTGTTTAGTGACTAAAATTACAACCGTATTGAAAAAAGTGCCTTCTGACTGGTTTCACCCAAATGACCACTGCAGCATCCCCATGGTCATGTGAACCAAAATCTGGGCACTTGGCAAATGGCATGTATGTATGACAGCTGCATTGTCCTGGGGTCATGTGGCCACCATTTGTAACCTTCCCAACTGGCTTTCCACAAGCAAAGTCAATGGGGGAAAGACAGATTCACTTAACAACCATTAAGATTCACTTAAACAACTGCAGTAATTCATTTAACAACGGTGGCAGAAAAAAGATTACAAAATGGGGCAAAACTCACTTAACAACCTCTTTACTTAGCAATGGAAACTGTGGTCGTGAATTGAGGACTACTTGTACTAGTAGACCCAGGTTTAGAATGTGACGGCCACATTCAGAAAAAGCTGGATGGACCGTTTACGAACGGCAAGATTCATTGCGGGATTTCTGTCCAGCTTTGCACATCTATGACTGGTCAGTTGCACCAGGGATGCAGAGGAAGAGTGTCATGAAGAAGGGAACAATTCACATCACTTGGGCTTAGCACTGCCAAGGCCTGGCAAACAGGGGCTGACTCCGGCAGCCCAACAGGAGTGCACAAAATAGGCAAAATGGACCTTGGGATTAATATTTGCTAGCCCAGCCTTTAACAGCACGCCAGTTAGTAAAGTTATCTTCTTTGGCTGAGCTGAGGTGCTCTTCACCTTTATTCCTGTCTGCGGATAACTACCCTGGCATGAAATTTGCTGCTGGGTTGTGGTGGTGACTGTCCTGCCTCTATTTGCCCCTTCTCAAGCACCTGCCAGGAGTTTTTGTACACCTTGAGGCTGTCCATGGAAAATACCACAATAAGCTCTAGCACAGACATGTCAAACACAAGGCCCAGGGGCCGGGTGCAGCCCGTGAAGTGGTTTCATGTGGCCCACGAAGCCATCCTGGAAACAGTGAGGGAACGACCCCCGCTGCCTTGGCCCTGGCCCTGGCCCAGGACAGCCGGGAGCCAATGTACAATTTTGTGTTGGCCATCTATGCTGAAACACATTCAGTCTTAGCTCCACAAGGCTGTCTGGAAGCAGCGAGGAACCAGCCCCTGCTGTGTTGGCCCCACCCCCTGGATGCATGCTGGGGAAGTGTCACCCTTTGTGAGGAATGAAGAAATGCACCATGCCTTGGCACTTGCCCCGGTTCCACCCCCTTCTGCCAGAGACCCTCAGATCTGTCCCACTCCTGCCCAGGCCCCCACAGGCACCCTCGACGCGAACGATGTAGAGCTGGCCATGCCCACCCAGTAGGCCACACCCATTCCCTCCACGCCCACCCAGTAGGCCGCACCCACCCTGGCCACACCCACCTGCCCCCCCAAGGGCAACTGCAATGTTGATGCGGCCCTCAGTGAAATTGAGTTTGACACCCCTGCTCTAGCAGCACGGTTTCTGAGAGTTGAAGCCCACACCTCTTAAAGTAGCCAGGACTTTGAGAAATACAGGTAGTCCCTGACTTACAACAGTTTGTTCAGTAATTGTTCAAAGTTACAACGGCACTGGAAAAAGTGACTTATGACCCTCTTTTGCACTTATGACCATTGCAGCGTCCCCAGGGTCACGTGATCAAAATTCAGGTGCTAGACAACTGACTCACATTTATGACCATTGCAGTGCCCCGGGGGTCACATGATCACCTTTGCAACCTTCTGACAAGCCAAGGCAATGGGGAAGCCAGATTCACTTAACAACCGTGTTACTAACTTGACACCTGCAGTGATTCACTTAGCCAGGATGGCAAGAAAGGTCGTAAAATGGAGAAAAGCTCCCTTAACAAACGTCTCACTTAATACCAGAAGTTTTGGGCTCAGTCGTGGTCACAAGGACTGCCTACTGCTTTAGGTTTAAAAGTGGAGATAAGAAGGCAGCTCTATTATGGGGACACATCTGAAAAAAAAAAGTAACTGTGGCAAGTCAGGTGTGAGCAAGTTTGATGAACTGCTGTAGATCCTCCTGGCCTTTCTCAGCACTGTGCCTGGGGGAAAGAAAGAAGCAGTGGGGAAAGAAGCAGTCCCCAAGGGGATTAACCCCCCCCCGCCCAATCTGCCCGATTGCTTAATCTATCTGCTGGTAGCGATGGGTCACTATCCCTCCATCTCAGAACAAGCCAGAGCAACAGCCTCGCCCACAGGATACCCGCCCCTTCGCTACCTACAGATTTGCACCTTTGAATTATCCACCTCTTCGCTTTTTCTGACTTTGCTAAAGTTGCAGCCTGTGTCCCTCTTCCTCCCCCCTCCCAAATCTGGAAAAAAAAAAAGAAGATGCAAAGAACGGGAGACGTGGCTAGTGATTAGAGGCGGCGGAGGAATCAGAGAAAATAGGCAGAGCCGACGGACGCCCTCCGCAGCTGCGTTTCCCAAGTTCTGCCGGGAGCAGACGTTGGCCGCCAGGGGGCAGCACAGAGCGTGGGTTCCGGATGCAGGCAGGCAGGTTGGCTGGACTTTCCCACTGCCTTACTCTTCTCGCCTTTATCATTCAGTCAGGCGCTCTCCAGCACAGGGCGCCGAGCTCGGGGCGACTGAGGGAGCCGCCTGGGACTGAAGGAAGCGCCTCCTCCGTTTCCAGCAAGAAGAGCGGCCGCTGCCGGAGGGACGGGCGAAGCTCAACGCCTTAAGAGAAAGTTTGCGACATAAGCCAACGCCGTCGAGTTGGGCGCTGGGTTGCCGCGCAGGTGGCTTTTTTTTTTTTCCCCTGGGGAAGCAGAACAGGTGCCGGCCCCGAAGCCTCCTTCCGAGTTGTCTGCGGGACTCACTGCACCCGAGACGGGCTGACTCTGGGAGCGGACAGCGCCAGCCCAGCATGGAGTGGCGGTGGCGAGCCAAACACGCTTGAAGCCTTTCTAGTCCCGCAACTTTCTTCCACGTGAAACACGATCCAAGTGGAACAGCCGAGCAACGAGGCTGCCCGCCTGCCCAGCACGCGCGCAGACACACACACACACACACACACACACACACAGAGAGAGAGAGAGAGAGAGAGAGAGAGAGAGAGAGAGAGAGAGAGAGAGAGAGAGAGAGCCCCGTTGGTTCTGAGGATGTGACGAACCGAAGGATTTCGAAGTGGTGCAGAGGCTGCGCAGCGCCCGTCCCGTCGAACTTTAGGTCCGCGGCTCGCTGCTCAGGTGTGCGGTCCGCCACCTTCGCGAAACTTTCGGGGTGTGCCAGGGAAGATGAAAACCAAGGGAGTGACCAGGGAACCCTCTGCTGCCTCCACCTCTTCCACCCAGGATGGGTCAGTCCTCCTAGTACCTTCTCACCCATCCGATCGGGATCCTTTTGCTGGAAGGGAGAGGGTCGAGGCGATCGATCTGACCCTGGACGGGCTTCTGTATGCCAGAAGCAGCGAAGACGAGGAAGAGGAGGAGGAGGAGGAAGAGGAGGAGGAGAAAGAAGACCAGGAAGAGGAAGAAAACGCGTGTCTCAAGGAGCACGGACAGCTACCTGCCTCCTCCTTGGTCCAGGACAGTTCCGGGTTGCCGTCGGGCAAAGACGCCCTGGACCGGGTCCTGGATACCTTTCTGACCTCGGACTCCAGTCACTCGGACAGCCCCTCGGCGGCGTGGTCGTCTTTCTTCGGCTCGGAGATCCCCGAGTTGACCGCTGGGCTCCCCAGCAGGCGCTCCCTCGACGGCAAAGAAGAGGGCGCGCCCGCAGACGCCGCTTCCCTGCCGCCTCCGCCTCTTTCTCCCACGGCCACCGCCTCTCCTTCCCTTTGGAAGGCGGCTAAGGATGCGGAGGGAGCTCCTTTTAAGAGCCCGAGGGGCAGGCTGCCAGCCCCCACAGCCTCGACGCTGCCGAAGGGAGCGCAGCAGCCTCCGAGCTCGGCCGAGGGAGAGCTGGTCCCTGGGGCTAGCCGCGCGGTAGCGGCCGCCTCCTCCTCCTCTTCCCCCTCTTGCAAGCTCCCGCCGACTTCAACCGCGGGACGCTCCCCCCTGGCCGCCCCCTCCAGCTGCTCCGACTTCTTCAACGTGCCCATCCTGCCTCTCAACCCGGCCTACTTAGCCGCCCGGACGCGGCAGCTGCTGGACGTGGAGGAGTCCCAGGACTGGAGCCCCTTCTGCGGGCACCCAAGCGCCGCTTCCTCGCCCGCCCCCGGCACCCTCCAGGATTTCGCTAACTTCGTCTACCCGCCCCGAGACGGGCACCCGCCGCAGGCCCCGCCGCCGCCGCCGCCGCCGCTTTACTTCCTGGGCTCCGGCGGGGACTTTCAGCCCAGCTTCAAGATCAAAGAGGAGAGCCTGGCGGCGGCCGTGGCCAAAAACAGGAGCGACGGCGGGGCGCACTTGGGCACCTTGCCGGCCGCCACGGCGCCCTGCCCGGACTACGCTCCGCCGATCGGCGCCGCTTCGCTGCCGAAGAGTAGCACGAGCGGCCAGGAAGCCGCCGCTGCGCCCCCCTCGTCGACCCTGGAGTGCGTTCTCTACAAGGCGGAGGTGGCGGCGGCGACTGGCGGCGCCCTCCCGGGCTCTTACGGACTAGCGCCTTACAAAGCCTCCGCCAGCTCCATAGCGCAGAGGGAGGCTCTGTCTTTGCCCTCTACCTCGGGCGCCCCGCCTCAAGCCCTGTACCAGCCGCTCGCCTTTCAGGGCCAGCAGCCGTTCTATTCGCCTTACTTGGGCTACCTAAGGTAAGCGGGGGTCCTTCACCCACCCTGGCTCAAAGAGGCTTCCTTGAATTGTAGTATTGCAGGGCCCTGCTTTTCCAAAAGTGGCCTGTCAGCATGGCCGGCACCTGTCAAGTTGTGGCGAACCATAAACAAATAATATTTAGAGGGGGTCGTTCTGCCCTTTGGAAGCCACCGGCCCCAGGAGGCACATTAAAGAGCCTGGTGGAAGTTGCTTTTATTTTGATGTGTTACCAGTATGTGGGAAAGGTAATAACGAGGCTCCCCTGTGCCTATAATTAACAGAATAACAGTTGGAAGGGACCTTGGAGATCTTCTAGTCCATCCCCCTGCTCAAACTGGAGACCCTATACCATTTTGGACAAATGGTTGTCCAGTTCCCTTCTTAAAAGCCTCCAGTATTGAAGCACCCACAACTTCAGAAAGCAAGCTAATCTTGGGTCTGGATCTGTTCACTCCCCTGCCCCTTGTCGCTTTCAAAGTCTAGTGGCTAAGTCAGTCTAGAAAGAATATGGATCTATTGATATAGTCACTAAGAGCTGAAAATGACTTAAGGGTACATATCACCATTATTAATCAGAAATAACAGATGTGGAATGTGTTTAAAAAAATCTGGCAAATCTGTAAACAAAGCTAAGAAAATGAGTCCAGCACTTTCACCCCTGCATGTCTGTGCGCACACACATTGTGACATTTCAACATCAGAATAGTTTTAAAATAGCTTTTTTTAAAAAAAAATAGTGGCTAGTTTTTCATCACGGTCAGCTTGACTTTTGGTGGGCATATCCACAGGGTGTCCTTGGCAAAAATTACATTGCCTTCTAGAGGTTTATCCACTGCCCAGTCCAGCCTTCATCCTTTCCTAGTGATGTCCTGTGCTTAGACTAACAAGATCTGACCATGCTTAGTTCATTTATTTATTCTGTTTATTAGATTTGCATCCCAGCTTCAGGTTTATAAGTAACTCAAGAGGACAAACATACCTAGTATTTCTTCCTATATTCCCCATGACAACAACCTTGTGAGGTGGGTTGGGCTGAGAGAGAGTGACTGGCCTAAAGTCTCTCAGCTGGCTTTCATGCCTAAGGTGGGACTAGAACTCAGGATCACGTGGTTTCTAGCTCAACATCTTAACTACTGCTCTAGTTCCCTAGAAAATCAGATAGGATCTGCTGAATGCTGCCATCTGCTGTGTCCATAGTGCATTCTCCTGTTAGACTGTTGTAATTTTACTAGAATGTCTTATCTCCCAATTAATGTTCCTGACATGGCTTTCCATTATTGTTGGACTACAAGTCCCATCTTCCTTGTTCTGGGAAGTTAGAGAAGTTGTCATCTGGCACCCCTTGAAAGATACCAGGTAGGGGAAGGTTGGTAAAATATTAAAGCTACTCAGTGGAGCAGGACTACAGTAGTTGACAACTATGAACCATTATTAAAGTATGGATCATAACAAGCCCTTTGGTTTTACCACAAGTATATTCCAAGTGGCCTTTTTCCATTTCTCTGAATTTTTAAATATTTAATCCTAGCTTATCCAGAGAGCTTCAGATTGAAGAAGGGGGCTGCCACAAAGATGAGGGGGGTCATATTATTTTCCAAAGCACCAGAAGGCAGGACAAGAACCAATGGATGGAAACTAATCAAGGAGAGAAGCAACCTAGAACTAAAGAGAAACTTTCTAATAGTGAGAACAATTAACTAGTTCCGGGGTCTTCAGACTTGGCCGTTTTATGACTTGTGGACTTCAACTCCCAGAATTCCTCAGCCAGCATGCCTGGCTGAGGAATTCTGGGAGTTGAAGTCCACAAGTCATAAAAAGGCCAAGTTTGAAGACCCCAGAACTAGTGGAATGATTTGCTTTCAGAAATTGTGGGTGCTCCAACACTGGAGGCTTGCAAGAAGAGACTGGACAGCCACTTGTCTGGAACTGGTATAGGGTCTCCTGAGCAGGAGGTTGGACTAGATGACCTCCAAGGTCCCTTCCAACTCTGTTATTCTATGTTAAGAAGTCTGGGATAAGACTTCAAGAGGTGTCTTATGAATAATAATGGTTATCTGGTTGTTCATTTTAGTTGCTTAAGGCTATGGCTCCATTGTAGGACTTGTTTTTAAATGAACAAAAGTAGGCTGTGGTTGTTAATGATTAAATGCGCTTTGGCTAATGGCTATAATTCATGGTCATGACAACTCGGTATTCTGTAAAACCATTTCCATTTTCAGCATGGGAATGTCAGTTACAGCTGTTTGTTATCTGATTTCCTCTTTTTTTAAAAAAAACTTTTGGTCTTGCTTATTGATACTTGTTGAAAGTTTTGTTCAACAGCAGAGTTTAAAATATTGAATTGATAGCCATTATAATTTGACTTTTGGACTAGCATTGGGATAAATTAAATTCGCATGGACTTTTTCTATTTTTCACATAGTCCTTTGCTCTGTGATCACAAATTAAAATGTAATATAATTAAAAAGGTTGTTGTGAGAATAAAATAGGCAAGAGAGAACCAGATGTCATCCTGCAAAAAGGGCAGTTTTGATATATACTAAAGCGGAGGTCTTCAAACTTGGCCCTTTTATGACTTGTGGACTTCAGCTCCCAGAATTCCTCAGCTGCCTGGCTGAGGAATTCTGGGAGCTGAGGTCCACAAGTCATAAAAGGGCCAAGTATGAAGATCCCTGTACTAAAGGATAAATGTGCAAATCCTTTTCCCTATTCCATTCTTTCTTACAAATTTTCTATTAAGAAATCACATATTCATTGATGTTAAGTGTCAAAATTTGTTTTTAACTTATTATCAGTCAAGCTTCTATAATACTAACAACGCTGAAAAAATATGAACAGCTGGCATACAGATAACTGTGTCTTACAAAAGAAATACAAGCTGTTTCTCTTAAACCATACTTAAAAATAAATGTAGTTCCCTGACAGTTTGCAGAGTTTTTATGACACTCTCTGTTTATGGGTGATCATTCTTTACAATACACAGTATAAGCAACTGTAACCTCTGTTAAAGACTGATAACTATGCACCAGATTTTTAAGTAGGTCTTTCTCCTAGTTAAAATCTGATAGATGCACAGAACTAGCCATGCTGATAGGAAACTGAAATTTCTGCTTTGGAAGTAAGTGACATAAATTTACTAGATCTATCTGGTGTGACAGCAATTCAGAGGTGAAACTTACTCCAGCTACTGGAGGTGTTGATGGAAACATTTGAGATGTGGAATCATGTGGCGTTTTTTGTTTCGCATAAAACAAAGCCATCAAGATGAGATTTGATGGTGGGTGGGGGTTGATAATTCATGCAGCAGCTTTGGTTAGGAAAATATCATGAAAGGCCCAGCCATCATGGATAAATTTCCTCTGATAACTCATAAATGATACTCTAAAATCTTCATTTTTGAAACATACATTCATGTAGTTTCAAGAAAAACATTATTTTCACACCCATATGTTAGAAGACTAGAATATAATTCAGAAATGAATTTAAGATTGTTCAGAACTATGGATTTTAAATGTTTCCAAATAAACTTCTTCCAATAAAAAAAGTACCTAGTATCTTTTATCACTTAAGAGAAAAGTACATAACCATGGTAGGCTATTAAAGAAGGGATGGATTTACTACTACTACTACTACTACTACTACTACTACTTATTGGAGTTGTACTTATTTGTACCATTTTTGGGGGAGGAAAAAAATAGTTTTTAAGAGGATGTGAGATCTATCTCCAATTTTCTTTAAATTTTACTTTTCTGCTGGAATACTTGGAAGGGAGAATCATAGTGCTGTTCCCGTGTACAGTTGACGATTAGAAAATACGTCACAGGCTTGTGTGTAATTACAGTATGTTTCTAAGGGAGCCACAGCATTTTGTGCATTTCCAGACTGCAAAGAACTTTTGATAGTATGATAAACCAAGGTTTGAACCAAGGCAACCTCAGTACATGGTGTTTCTGTTTGAGCAGTTATGCTCATCTTGCAGTCTCCCTGCACTATTCTTGTTAAACTGGATACATTTGAATTTGCTTTTGTAAAATCTTTCAAAGGAGAATGGAATGGCAGTGAAGGTCCTTACACATTGGCCAAGCGATATGGATGAAACTCCTGTTTTTCCTTATGCAATTGTCTCCCAAATGGTTACAGCTTCTCTGACTTTCTCTGCATCCATCACAGGAAAGACACCAGGAAAGAATTTCTTCCATTGGGCTTTTTAAGATTTGAAGCCTGGTAACAGGCAGACCAGGAAAATAGACCAAAAAAAAAAAAAAAAAAAAATCTAGAGAATTAAAAATTAAACCAGCAGAAGTCTTTTCATGGGTGAAGTGCTTTTGAAAAATTGCAAATATTTCATCCCAGCTTTATTTTAATTAAGATATCCTTAAGAGTAAATACAGTACATAATACAGAGGTACATAATGCTTGATATTCCTCCTTATACAGTATGTGTATCTTTGGGGTGGGGGGTGGGGAGATAAGTGAAAACAAGGTAGATCTTTGCTTGTTCTCAGCATAGAAACTCCACTTTGTTGGTTGGGTGGAGACAACTAAAGGCTGTCTGCTGTGCTTGTTCGAGGACCATGTAGGTAGCCCTGGATTTATGACCACAATTGAGATCAGAATTTCTGTTATTAAGCAAGGCAAATGCTAAGTGAGTCACACCTGGTTTTATGACCATTTTTACCATACCAAAAAATATTAAACAAATCACTGCAGTTATTAAGTGAATTGTGTGGGTTGTTAAGTGAATCTAACCATTGATTTTGTTTGTCAGAAGGCTGGGAAGGTCACAAGTGATGATCACATGACCCAAGGATTCTGCAATCATTCATAAATACAGGCTGGTTGCCAAGCAGCCAAATTATGATTGTAGACCATGGGGATACTGTGAGGTATGAGGACCGATTGCAAATCACCTTTTTTTTTTAGTGCTGTTGTAACTTTGAATGGTTGTACCTATATTCTTAAATTTTAATCCTTCTAAATCACTTTTCTCTCAGTAAGGCTCCTCATTCCTTTCTAAGCAGGGTTTTTTTGTTTTTGTCTTTTTTTTGCTATCAAGTATTGGCTACATCAGGAGTCTTCAAACTTGGTCCTTTTTTGACATATGGACTTCAAACTCCCAGAATTCCTCAGCCAGGCACGCTGGCTGAGGAATTCTGAGAGTTGAAGTTCACAAGTCATAAAAGAGCCAAGTTTGAAGACCCTTGAGCTATATCATTCCCTCCCACTCATCCACCCATTTTTTAATTTAATGGTGCACTTTGGAGGAGGGATCACCTGGTGTCCTGCTTTGCATGCTGATTCTGCTGCTGTTATGTACTTGAAAGGATTAAAAGGTGGAAAACCAAAGGACACTTCCTGGAATTGTCCATGTTAATTACCCACAGTATTGTTTCCAATGGTACTGGAAAGTTATATGTATTTCAGTCTAGACCAATAGATGGATAAATGAATGGATGAGCTATAAATTCTTGTTTGTTGTTCATGACTTTTTTTCTTTACTTTCCCCTGCCTTTTCTACTTTTGCTAATACACTCTTTTGATGATTGATAAAGGAACACCAAGTGGCATTTTTATACCAGCTGAACTGAGTGGGCTGTGAACTTATCCTGATCTGGATATTGGAGATTGAATGGAAATATGCTGGGTGCAAAGTTAAACTGGAAATGACTAAAACCAATAAAGCTAAAAACTCCCTTGAGCTGTGTTTGAGCTCCTCATGGGTTTGTCCATGCAATTTTGATGGCAATAACGTGGAAGTGGTTTGCATTTCTTCTGAGAAGATTTTTGACCTCACCTTCAATCTTTAAATTATCTGATGTCTCCCATCCAAGAACTAACCAGGACTGGCTCTGCTTAGTTTTTGTTTAGCCTCTGAATGATCCAATTTGATTGCCTTTTTTTCCAAATAGGGACCTTCCTCTTATCCAATAATTCTCTCTTCCTCTGCTATTCCTGCCAGCAATGAAAAGAAGTGATTTATTTCCTAGTGCTGAAGAGGTGACTGAGAAATAATTAACACTCCAGAAGTTGCTGCAGATTAGCCAGTCATAACTTACTGTGAGCTCAGCTCCACTTCACTCTCAGTTTTCTTCCTCCAGCTGGATCTTATGTTAGGTTTTAAAATGTATTTTGCACATTTCCATCTTTTTATTTTAAAGGAATATTGCTCTACGATGCTAGCAGGTAGAATATTCGAATGAGTTTTTTTTTAAAAAAAAATTGCCTATTGAAGTTGGACATTGGAGTTTGCAAAGAGATGGTTCTGAGGGAGAATCTGAAGCCTAAGCTGCTTTTTTCAGGCCTGTTTATTGACAATGAGCCCAGGAACTGGGAGAGAAGACTGAGTAAACCTGTAGGGATGGAATATTCTGTTGCTGCTCAACTGAGTCATTTTGCTCTTGACTTCCTCTTTGGAACCCCTGAGCTGGAGACTTCCTTCCATGAGAGGAGGATGTGCTTCTTCTGAGTTTTGTTGTAGGGTCCCTGTTGTGCCCTGAGCCTGCAAAAGCAGGCTCGGGACGTTGCATTGGTCCCGGGCATTCCAAAAGCTGCCCGGGACCAGACAGAGTGGCGCCGGCCTTGAGCGCATGCGCAAGGTGCAAAAATGCTCTGCTCCTATTGGTTGACACTGTCCGGGCTTCTGGCCATATAAAAAGGCCTGTGTGCCTTTTGCTTTGTTTGGTTGTTGTAGAAGGAGAATAAAGTGTTTGTTCAGCATCGCTATGTGTCTTCATCATTCACACGCGAAAGAAGTATACAACAGTCCCCTTATTAATAAAAGGTGATGTTTTCATGAAATGCAAGTGGGAAAACTTTGAACTGAATTCTTGGAGCGTGCCCTTACAAAAATGTTCAGACAGTTCTAGTAGTGTTTATTCTGTCATTTATTTCTTTACTTAAAAATGTACATCCTTTAGGGGAGGCAAGGTTTTAATTCGCCTATAACCGGATCTCCCACCCCTTAGGTGTCACAGATGGAAGCAGGTGAGCATTTACAAGAGACAGGCCACTACACAAGAGCTATTAAACCTGTCCAGCAATCTAAGAGGGTTGACTTGTATTCATAACTCTTTGGAAAAAAATCTCTCTTATTTATCAAGCACAGAATATATTCTGGTTTTTCTAAACCCCGCAGGATTTGAGGATCCTTTGTAGAATAAGATTTGCTGCTGCTTCCCCCTTAACTTTCAGTTTCTTATTTTTACCTATTTGGTTTAGGTCTGATGCTGAAGCAGGTCAGAGCCCTCAGTATGGGTTTGAACCTTTGCCCCAGAAGATCTGCCTTATCTGTGGTGATGAAGCTTCTGGGTGCCACTATGGTGTCCTCACTTGTGGAAGCTGCAAAGTCTTCTTCAAAAGAGCAATGGAAGGTACTCTTACAATGGCTTTTTTTTTCTTCTGGTTGTGTTAATTTTAAACTGATATTGGTTGCTGCTCTTGTTGGTGGTAATGTATTATGCCAACAGCATTTCAGGAAGAGATAGTATGTATGTCTGGATATATATGTATGTATGTGTCTTGGTGGGTGTGTATTTCTAAAAGGAAGTAAAGGATCTCAGATACAGCATCACAGACATAGGTGCTGATTGTAGGACGGATGACAAATTGCTGATGTGGATGAAGAGGGAGAGGGAGGGGGAGGAGGAGGAGGTTGTTTCTATAATGTGACCTTGGGCATATACCCATCATGTTCAAGCAGAACATCAGAAATGGATTTGAAGTCCCGAATCTCATTGCTAGAGAACCAGAAGCCAAAGAAGTCATTAAGGATGAATGTGAAAGCAGATTTCCTAAGATGAAGAAATAGAAGAAATGGATGGCAGAACCTATCATGGAAATGATCAAGTAGAGAAGTTAAAGCCAAGAAGGCTAAAAGTCTCAGAAAGGAACTTAATGAAGTATTTCAGAGAGTTGTTAGAAGATACAAGTAGAAGTATTACAACAACATTTGTGAAGACTTTGAAGATGGAAACAGATATGGAACAAAAGGAAGTGTTCCAAAAGATCTCTGAAATTAGGAGAAGATTCCAACCTCAACCTAAAGGAAGTCAATAGACAAACAGCTGGTTCAAAAATATCAGAGATGGAAGAAGTACACTGAAATACTGTACAGTAGAGATGTCAACATCCCAGATACTTTAGAAGATCTTTCCTACTTTCAAGAATCTCTACTATTAGAAGATGAAATTAAATCAGCAGTCTAATTTACTGAAGGCTCACTGAAATATGGCCAGCAACAGAAGAATGAGTAAAGATTCTAGCTTAGCTATTCCTGTAAATTTGGAGAACAACACAATAGCCAAAAGATCAATATTCTAATATCCAAAAAGGAGAGTTAACAGAATGTGTCAACTACCATATAGTATTCTTTGTTTCATACACTAGCGAAATAAGATTTAGGCTCATCCAACATAGATTCAGACCCAGACAATAGACATTCAAGTTTGGTTTAGAAAATGCCAAGGAACATGAGACATAATTCTCAATTGAATAATTGAAAAAGCCAAAGAATAATAGAAAGAAGTCACTGTGTGCTTTGTTGATTATAGAAATGCCTTTGATTGTATTATAATTATGCCAAACTGTGGAATGTACTTAGAATCACATTCTACATGGGAATATGCTTGGGAATCTTAAGTTATTTCATTGTCCTCATGTAAAATCTAAAAATAAATCAAGAAGCCAGAGCAGAAACAGAACATGATGGAAGAGACTGGCTCCAGGTTGGCGAAGGAATGAGACAAGGTTGTATAGTCTCCCCTTATTTATACAACCTGTATGATGAATATATATTAAGGAAAGCTGGATCGGAAGAAGATGAACATGGTTTTAAAATTGGAGGAAGAAGCATCAATAATTTGCATTGTGTAAATAAACCTATTCTATTCTATTCTATTTAATAGCTGAAAATGCAAAGCATCTGTAAACTAGTTATAAAATCAAGAAGCAAATAAATAGGATTAAAATTAAATATAAAGAAGACCAAACTAATGACAACAGGCTCAATAGCCAGTTATGGAACTGACAATGAAATATGAAAGTGGTAGATACCTTCTACTTTTTAGGATCAGCTATCAGCAATAAAAGAATAAGGAAATATGCCATAACTAGCATTTGGTACAACAGTCATGATGGCTATGAAAAAAATGTTTAGATGCTATTATATGTCTGTACTTAAAGATATTTACTTAAAGGTAAGCAAGCAATGGTATTCCTTATGACACTCTCTGGAAGCAAAGAATATTGATGCTTTTGAACTTTGGTATTGGGGAAGATTCCTGGTAATATCATGGATAATCAAGAAAATAAACAAATGGATCATGCAAAAAATCAATCAAGAGTTCTCACTTGAGGCACAAATAACCGGACTCAAATTATCTTATTTTGGATATAATATGTGAGGTCCCTGGAGATGGCTCTAATAGTGGAAGAGTGGAAGAAAAGAGAAGAATTGGACAATCAGCAGCAAATTGGATGGACTTGAATTGAACTGGCAAGGGATGGACTTTTGGAAGACCTGAAAGACCAAGTCAGGGGCAGATCATCAAGAAATAAAACTATTGATAAAGGAGAATATTTGTACCTCACTGTTGACATGAGGGATCCTTGGTGCTCTCTGAGCTTGGTTGTTTTCTTGCACACGTTTCAATACCCAACATAGTCAGTGCACTGATGTTGTTGCTTAGTTTGGGTATGCAATGTCTACAAGAAAACAACCAAGCTATCTATGCAATCACTAAGAGTTGATACCAACTTGATGTTGAATAATCAATCAATCAGACAATCAATCAAATCAATGCCAATAGCACTTCAGCTATTCTGCCAACTGCCAGGAGTTCAATCCTAACCAGCTCAAGGTTGACTCAGCCTTCCATCCTTCTAAGGTAGGTAAAATGAGAACCCAGACTGTTGGGGGCCATAGGCTGACTCTGTAAAATTGCTTAGAGAGGCTGTAAAACACTGTGAAGCATCATATAAGTCTAAGTGCCATTGCTATTATACTGTATATAGCAAGGTTAAGAATAGGATTTCTTTGTTGCTTCCACTCAAAACTTCAAAGAATCTCTTTAGGCCAGGGATTTTCAACCAGTGGTACGGGTACCATCTGTGGTACATTGGCACCTGGCAGGTGGTACACGACCATCCTAGAAAAGTGGTAGCGGGGGAGGGGAATGAGCTGAACCAGTGGCAGCACTGCACAAGTCTGAGCGAGAGATGGCTGGAGCTGCAGGGCTGTCAGGGCTCAGCGGAAGCGCCAGGATCAGCACTTTGGGGCTGTCAGGGCTCAGTAGAAGTGCCAGGATCAGTGCCAGGCTCCAGCTGGAGCTCAGTGCTGATCCTGGCGCTTCTGCTGAGCCCAGAAGAAGCGCCGATCAGCTGGAATATTGCAGCATCTCCAAGGTCTTGTGATTTACACTCAGATGCTTGGCAACTGATTCATATTTATGATGGCCACAGTGTCCCAGAGTCATGTGAAGTGACCAAAACCTGCTGCAACCACCCTTCAGACAGGGGGAATAAAAGCCAAACACCCCCCACCCCACCCCTGCTGCCAATCCTCAACAGAAATGCTCACAACAATGAAAACCTCGGACAGGAGGAAGAGCACCACTGGGTGGGCAGGCAGATGTCTTGTTCGGCTGTGGCTTGGGGGGCACTTTTTTCAGTGCCATTGTAACTTCGAACAGTCATTAAGCAAACTGTTGTAAGTCGAGGGCTACCTGTACTTCATCACTTTTTCCTTTTTTGGAGGGGGCGGTCTTCACGTTTTTGACACCTTGCTAGATGGTACTCGGATATTGCCATATCCTAAAAGTGGTACAATGGGTGAAAAGATTGAAAAGCCCTGCTTTAGGCTGCATTCAAGGGCAGTATCTTTGATTAAAGAGAACATTTGCAATTAACATCTAGTATATTGAAGAGGCAATGCTTAATTATTTATTTATAAAAATAACTTGAGAGACTAAACATGTACTTCATGGGAGAGGCAGTGCTTAATTATTTAATTATAAAAATGAACTTTAGGAGAGACTAAACATGTACTCTGTGGGAGAGGCTGTGCTTAATTATTTAATTAATTATATAATTATTTTTAAAAAACGCTTTAGAAAAGATTTATCTTTCTTTTTGTAATACACAGAAGAAACGTTTCTTTTAAGACAATGTCTGCCTTAATGCATGAATATACTGTCTGAAAATGTAGGGGAAAAAATTCTTGCTTCAGAAAAACTGGCTTTGCCCACTTGTAAATGTTATTTGACATGCAGTTGAGTGCAGTTTTCCAACGTGTCCAAATATCCATTCAGCAGCTGGTTGGCATATCTTCCTTCCACAGATGACTGTGAAAAGAATTGGTCTGGACTGCGGTAATGGCACATATTTAGCAGGCAGAAGGTCAAAGGTTCATTCACTAACAAGAGCTGTGCAGAAAATGATATGAAAGATCTCGCTGCAAGGAAAAACCGAGTAATCCCATTTGTTCCATTGTCCATAGCACAGTTTCATCTGTTTTAGACATAATGGAAGATTTTGCTCAAGGCTATTTGAACCCCTTCTAAAAAAGTATATTCCTTCCCCAGCTATCAGTTTAAAATTTACAAGAACTGTGCTCCTCAAACTACTGTAAGATTTGGATAATTTATTATTTTGCATAATTTGGGTTTTCCTAAACATGGAACAGAAGCAAGCATTCTTCCTGTGTGGCTCAGTCAGATTGTTAGAACTTCTACCTAAACAGATTTGTATGGCCAGGGTTACATTGTGCATTCCAGTCATTTCAGTGGGAATCAACACAGCTTACCGTAGGAGTGTTGTGGAAAAAACCCTCCTTACTTCAGAAGGATTGTGATGAAAACTGTGGATCTGATTTGCAAATGAAAATGTCCTTTATTTACAAGAGCATCTTAAAAACGCACGGGTTGCTGTCTGATGCTAAAGAGAAGCAGTCTGAACAAAAAGTTGAACTTGCAATGCTGGGGGCTTTGTTTGTGTGGGATATTGCTTTCTTGAATAGAGGTAGTCCTTGACTTACAACAGTCCATTTAGTGACCGCTCAAAATTACAACGGCCCTGAAAAAAGTGACTTATGACCTTTTTTCACTTTTATGACTGTTGCAGCATCTCCAGGTCACATGACCAAAATTTGGATGCTTGGTAACTGGTTCATTTATGATGGTTTGCAGTATCCCAGGATCATGTGATCAGCTTTTGCGACCTCCTTACAAGCCATGGGGAAGCCAGATTCACTTAACAATCATGTTACTAATACCTGCAGGGTTTTCGCTTATCTGTGGCAAGAAAGATCATAATATGGAGCAAAATTCACTTAACAACTGTTTTGCCTGGCTTTAGAAATTTTGGGCTCAGTTGT